ATTTTTTGAACAGCTGTCAGTTTTCATGCTTTTAATAACTAACACATTATCATATTTAATTATACTTTTTGAGATTTCCCTGTATATATTTTTTCGCAGAATAACGACATAGATATTAAACAACTTAGCCTAACAATATGTTGAATTTTTACGGGATATGTAACCGCAAGAAATGATAATAGTTACTAATATCTTTTTTGAAATTATACTATTTATAAAATTAACATATTCTTTATTTTAACTTTTTTTTTCTTTTTTATTCTGCTTTCCAAACGTATGTATTTAAAACACTTTAATTGATTTGGTTATTACATTCTGTATATTTTTATACTTTTTTAAGGCAGGTATTACAATTCTGATTTGCACATATTCAAATGCGGTGAGTTTATACAGAGAGGCTTTCGTGTTTTATCTTGATTGGTTTTTGTTTACCGTTAACTTATTATTAACCACAGTTAACATCTTTAAGATTTTCTTAAGTAAATTTAGGGATTAACGTTCTTGATAACATTAATTAACCTTTTTAAAGTAATTATTCCTGCGTTTTATTTTTAAAAATATAATAGGATTTGTAGAGCCAATATTGTCATGCCTTAAAGTCAAACAGGAAACGATATCTCCCTGTATCAACTGCTTGTTAAATTTTCTTAACCTTTTCACCTCCTGCAGATATCTACCGTTCGTCTACAGATATCTACAGATCGTCTACAGACTACAGATCTTCTACAGATATCTACTTATGGTCTGTAGATTATCTGTAGGTATCTACAGCTATTTACAGAATGTCTACAGATCGTCTACATACTACAGATCTTCTACAGATATCTACTTATGGTCTGTAGATCATCTGTAGGTATCTACAGCTATTTATAGAATGTCCATAGATCGTCTATATATAACTAAAAATTGTCTGTAGATTATCTACAGATACCTACAGATATCTACAGATTGTCTACAGAAACATTAGTCATGGTGGATATTTATATGATAGGTTTAGTTTTTTTCGTCTGAATTGCACCAATACCAACTGAAGTATAGACATGCCTTTTGATATTGTCACTGCGCAGGATTTTTCTCTTTAATGGTAATCTACATGTAATTTCCTCCACTCTCCTGTTTTTCCTGTTTGAATCTGACTAACAACAGCTGAGACTTAGACCCTTAGACCCTACATGATTTTTCTATTCAACGTTTTCTTCATTGCGTCATTTGTTTCATGTAAATTGGACCAATAACAGCAGATATACTCTTAGGTCCTTCTGGCTTTATACATGATTTTTCTCTTTAACACATGTAATTTGATCCCACTCTTTGTCGGGGTTATGATCGACAAGTTATGTTATTTATAACAGACACGTTATTTGTGAACAGCTTGTAATTTCTGTGTGTTTATAAAATAACAGACCTGTTAAAAATAACACAGGTTGTCAATCCCCTGTTTTTATTTTTTAAATCTTGCCGAGAAACAGACTTGGACTCTTTTGACTTTGCCACTGCGCAGGATTTTCTATTTATTATTATTATATACCTTGTTTTCTACATAATGCCGTTTTCCTCGTTTAAATCTAACTACTTATAGCCGAGATCCTGCGCAGGATTTTTCTCTTTAACGGTAATCTTTACCAAGTTCTTTAAATAATGACGTTTTTTTTTCGTTTAAATCTGATCAATAGTAAGCGACATATATGCTCAGGAGCGTTTGGCATTGCTACTGCGCAAGATTTTTCTCTTCAATGTTATTACATATCACGTTGTCTACATAATGCCATTTGCCTCGTTTAAATTCGACCTATAATATCCAAGATACACGCTTAGGTACTTTTGGCATTGCCACTGCGCATGATTTTTCGCATTAACTTTCATCTATATCGCGTTCTCTGTATAATGGCGTTTTCCCCGTTTAAATCTGATAAATTATAACCAAAATACACTATTACGTCCTTTTGGCATTGCTTCTGCGCAGGATTTTTCTAATCAACGTTAGTATATACCGCGTTTTCTACATAATACCGTTTTTCCATTTGACTCTAACCTATATTAGCAGAGGTACATGCTTAGGTCCTTTTGACTTTGAGATTGTGCAAGATCTTTCTATTCAACGTTAATCTATACCACGTTCACTATATAATGTCGTTTTTCCGTTTGAATATGACCAATAGTAGCCGAGAAACACGATTAGGTTCTTTTGGCATTGCTTCAACGTGAATCTATACTATGTTGTCTACATAATACCGTTTCCATCGTTTAAATCCAGCCAATAATAAACGAGATACGCGCTTAGGTCCTTTCGGCATTGCTAAAGCGCTGGATTTTTCTCTTTAGCATTAATACAGATTTAATTTCCCACACTCCACCGTTTTTCCCATTCCAATCGGACCAATAATAACAGATACACGCTTAGGTCCTTTCGGCATTGCTACTGCGCAGGATTTTTCTATTCAACGATAATTTATATACGTTCACGAAGACGATGGCCGCCATCTTGGATCACTTAGCCGAG